GGGAGCTTGGAGAATGAACCCATTTCACAGATGGGGAGGACAGAGCTTACCTCTCCCACCTCCCTGTCTGGGGACCTGCGCATCCCAGCCCTCTCGGAGTAATACTGTTATCTTGAAATCCTTAGCAGTTTTTTAGGGGGGAGGTACACATTTTGGACTTCCCCCAAATCGAACCGGGATGTGGACCATGCCTCCAGTAACTGAGATGCCAACACAAAGGAAAAAAAAAAAAAAAAAAAAAAAAAAAAAAAAAAAAAACATAGTATGGCTCAAACCAAGTACAAAAGTGACTATTTACAATGAAGGCATGGAGAGTGGGTGGAGGCGGCGGGAGAGGGCGCTCCACGGAAGGGAGGCCACGCCCCCTGGACCCGCCTTTTAAAAGTGGGGGGGGCAAAGCCAAACAGCAAAGGTTTTTCTAGAGGCTCCTAAGGGGTGCGGGATGGGGGTGGGGGCATGGTATGGGGAGGCATGGGCAGTGGGAGGAGATGGGAGGAGAGGTAGCAATTGCCCCTAGCCTCCCCGCTGCGCCCCCCTGCCGGACACACAGTTTTCCGTGGGATGAACACAGAAAGGGTTAATCAAAAAGAGTTCGATGAGCGAGTCGGACGGTCGAGTGGGGCGGGCTGGAGCAATGAGGCCGCAGGTTCCGGTGGTGGCCGGTGGTGATGGAGTCACTTAGAAGATGAGAGGTTGGTGGTTTTGAGGGGTGGGAGGAGGAGAGGGAAAGGGATGAGGGGGGGTGTCTCCCTATATTAGTTCTAGGAGACTAGTGTCCTAGACTGACTGAGAAGGGATTAAAAAAAACCAGCAGCCTTCAACACCACCACCACCCTCCACAAAGAACTTCCCTCCCTTCGTGCCACCCAGCGATAGACCCCATGGACTGGACACACCAGCAAGGACATTGAGACCCCCGATTGCGTTGGAGAGGGGTCAGGACAGCAAGGCTGGCTGGAAACCAGGGGGTTGTCCGCCCGCCGTGCCCCCAACTTGGGTACCGCGACTCTGTTCTCTCCCACAGTGGCACCCAGTTCAGGTTCTCACCGGCCACTGCCGGCCTCGATTCCGGATGGCGCTTGGAACAGCTACACAACGCACAGCCCAAGCCTGGCTGGCCGTGGCGCCAGGTGTGTAACCCAGTCTTGCCTCCTGGGCGCAGCTCAGGGGAATTTGAACACTTTTGCCAATGGACCTGTCATTTTAGGCTCGAAACAGCAAGAGTCCATGCAAGGGGGTATCATCCCCTCCTTTTCCAAACAGGTGGAGATCAATCAGCACAAAGTACTAAGGACCGTGTGGGCCACAGGGATGGTCAAGAGTGTAGCACTCCACAGAAAACAAAGTGGTACCGTAATATTCCGAGTATAAGTCCCCAACCATCTATAAGACTGACTCTTGCCAAGCTCCCTTAATTCCCACCTTCAAGTCCAAGGCAGATAGAGATGGCAAAATTGTTGCCTTCCAATCCGCGCCCAACTAATTATTGCAGCAAAGGTTCCTTGCCCATGTAGAGATGGCTGGGGCAGGGCAAAGATGATGGCGGGCAGGCTGGCTCAGAGCCTGGCGCAAGACAGAAAATGAAGTTTGTGAATTTGGCACAGTCACCCCCTTGGGCCAGCAAGGGAGGGATGGAGACTTTCTCTCCCTCCCCAGTTTCTATAGATTTGCCCAGAAAGAGGCAAAGGGGTTCTCCTTGGCTGGTGGAACTTGGGGAAGGGGATTCAAAAAAGTAGGCGTTAGCTGAAAATGGGAATTTTTTTTTTCTTTCTTTTTTTTTTTTTTTTTTCCTTTTTCTTATAAAGATTCTAAGAAAAACTCAGGGCAAGAGGAACAAGGAAAGGATCCAATTTAGCTCAGCGTCCACAGTCGCTTTCTATGCCTCTTAGGGGCCTCCTCTGGGAGAGATGATCTTATCTCCTCCCCTCTAAGATCCCCCGACCCCCACCCCAAAGCGGCTCAGTTCCAAGGAAGTTTGGCACTTTTTCTTTTTAAAAAGGAGAAACGAAAGAGTTAAGAGTTTGGGAGAAGAGGAAGACAGACAGACAAAGATAGACAGGACAGAGAACAGTAGGGAAACCACGGAAGAAAAACCGGAAAGCCGTTAGGGAGCCAGAGAAAGATGGAAACACTGGGGAAGGGAAGGTTCTGGGAGCTGGAGGGCAGATGAGAAGGAGACTGTTGAATGCAGGCAACACTTATGAAAGCACCTACTGGGTGCTGAAGAAGGGGGTGCAAGGAGGCTCCTCAGATTCTCTGAGATCTGACTGGCTAATAGCGGGTAGAGGAATAAGCCATAGGTTGTGGATTTTTTTTTTTTTTTTTAAATAATTCGCAACCCTGGTCCGCATCTGTGTCCCCTCTGGACAAACTGCAGCACAAAAAGATTGAGGTCAGACCGCAGTAGGGACTTTCAAAGGATAGGGAAGATGGTAGAATTTCCCAGGGTACAAGGGGGAAAGGTGTGTGGACTCCCATTGCAACACGGGGAATGGTCCAGTTCACTGAGCTAGCAAACTACCTTCCAGATAGCCCTCGCTGGTGGGGTGAGGGGTTCCCCAAGAAATGTGAATAGGGAGGGGCCTGCCACACAGATACCCAAGGGGACACTTTTCAGGAGGCCCAGCCTCTAGAGCCACATCTGTGTGAGAGCAGTGCTGGAGCCAGCTGATTGGACCCAGACTCCAGCAAATGGAGGAAGCAGGTTGCCTAGTGGAGGATGCAAATGATATGCAAATTACCTCTTCCCATCCCACCTCCCCACTCCGACCTTCCAATTCACCTTTCCCTGACTCCTCCTCCTCCTTCTTATAAAGGCTGAGGGGTTCGCAGAGGGATAGTCTGTCTAGATACTTAACTATGCAATAGAAGATGGGGCTACTAAGGAATACTATAAGGTCTTTTAAGAGGTGGAGGGGAGCAGTGGCCTGTGAGCCTCCTCCACCTCCAATCCCAACTGCCCCGACCTGTAGAAGATATGTACAAAGTGGTATTAAGAATTGTTTTGGCACTCGAATCTCCACCTGGGCTCAGTGTGGAGATTAGGGGTGGGGGGCAGCAGCGATAGGTGGGCAATGAGGGGGAAGGAAATGGGGCCTGCCCCTCACTAGGGAGATAAAGAGGACATGGAAAAGGTCACCCCAGTGCCCAAGTCACAACCTCCCATTTGGGTGGCAGGGCTAGGGGGGGAAAGTCAGTGCGAGGTACCTTGAAGGCTATTGCTTTCTAAGGATTTTCACATTTTAATTTGGCGGTGGCTCTCCTAGCAAAGGGTATGGGGCCTCCCAGGCTTCAGGGGTAGGAACCGTCTTCTTTTTTTTTTCTTCTCCCTACATTTTTTTTTTTTTTTTAAAGGGAGAGAAACAAGGAGTTCATATTCCCCCAAAGCCATGGAGAACAGGGTCTGGAAGACCTAGGAGGGAGACAGGTGGGGGGGAGGGGTGGGCATGGGGTGCCCCTCCCCCAGAGATGCTGATGATGGAGCCAGGGCTCTGAGGACCCTGCTTTGGGTTAGGGGAACTAGAGGTTGTCTCCAACCAGGAGTGGGAGGAGGGAGGGAACAGGTGTGTCTCAGCGATCCTAGTCTATAGGTTTGTCAGGCCTTGAAATCTGTCTCAGTTTACAATCAGTCTTTAGAACAGACCAGTGCCACTATGCTAAGTGGAAAGGACTCTCAGGGCTGCCCGGACCACCACATTTCTCTCAGAATCTTACAGCTCCTCAGAGCCGAAGGTGGAGCACACAACAACATATCTTGACCCATCAGACATCGCCACTGTATGCCAGTGCTCCAGAACTCACCAAGCCAATCAAATTCATCAAACCCCACAAGGCATTTCAGCCCAAGGAACCCTAAACTTTGAGGGGCTCACTGAACTTTACCACCAGGTCATGCTGGCCTGACAGTCACCCGACATTTGGCTCATTGGTCAATGGAAGGAAGCCACACAGACACAGGCATGCACACAAAGGCGAGGCTGGGAAAGGGGGGAATTTTAGCATTCATTTTCACTAGCTCCATCTTCCATCCCTGCCTGCCAGGCTAAGTTCACAGATGGTGTTTAGATGGAGATAACCCTGACAGTATGGTTTTCATTCTCCTTAGAATCCTCCATGTTGGATTCAAGTCCCACCCTTTATTAATGTCTTCCTAGGGGATCCCCCTCCCCAGGCCAACACCCCCTAAAGAGGAGTGTGGGTGAAGGAGGGGTATCAAGACACTGGCCACTGTCCAACACAGGACACACACACTTCATCAGAATGACATCACAGGAAGTGACCTCAGACTCCACAGGAAGTACATGCCCCACCCCCTGCCATCACTGAAGTGACCTTGAGGGAGGGTTTTTGTGGGGACCTAATAGGAAATACCTTCTCATACCATTACAGGAAGTGAGCTCTGGGGAACTGCTTCCTGTGATACTGGAAGGTGTGACAGGAAGTACCCCAGGAAATACTTGATTCAGTGGCAACACAACAGGGATCCTCCTTTCCATTACAGAAAACAGGAAAAACCACAAAGATGCCACAGAGACTTGCTCCTGAGGAGTCTCGCAACAGGAGTCCAGCTCACAGGACAGGACCTGCTGTGTTCCAGAGCTGGCCTCATTCCCAGCAGGAGCATCCCTGCCTGATAACACAAGTGACAATTCCACCCAAGAGGAGCTACTCCAATGGGGACAGAGGAGCTGAGAAAACCTGGTAATGTTGGGGTCCTTGCTACAAACACCCCGGTTAAGCTCAGACTCCTGGGCTACCTCTCCTCCCATCACTTCCCTGGGATCTGCAGCTGCATCAGAGAGGCGGGGATATTGTGTTTGGGGGGGAGGCACCTCATTCCAGGTGACCTGGAGGCTCCATCCCCTCCTCCCAATATGGAAACAAAAAAACTCATAAAGGAGGGGGATCCTTTTCAAAAAAAGAAAAAGGAGAGTTAAAAAGGAAAAAAAAAAAAAAAAAGGAGAGTTAAAAAGGAAAAAAAAAAAAAAAAAGGAGGGAGAGAAAGAGAAAATAACGCTTTGTTTTCTATTAAAATCAACAAAATGCATATATACAGATATCACACAGACCTGGACCCTGGGCATGGAGTCAGGCCCAGTCAAGCACAGGGAGGGAGGGAGGAGGGGTCAGTTCAAGGATGGGGAGGGGGCTTTGGAGCCCCCTCTCCAGCCACCACGCAATCCTGCCTATGACTACCAGAAGGGGAGGTTGCAGCCAGGCCTACCCCGGCCCCATCCCAAGGCCAGCAGGATCACACCAAGCTGAGGTCTGGCGGGAGGGGTGGGGAGGGGAGAAGGGAAGGGGGGGAGAGGGTGGGAACACACACCACAGGCCTCATCCCACTTTCTGGGGGTTTGAGGCCCTCACCCCCTGCTCGTAGGTGACCCGCTGGCTGATGAGGTATTGAGCGGCTTGCGTGGCCGCGGGGCTGCCCGTGATGGTGACCCGCCGGTTCCGCGTGCCTGGCAGGAACTCGCCCTTCTTGGAGATCTGGATGCGCGCACCCGTCAGCTCCTGGTACTCCACCAACGTCTTCCCCCCTTTGCCCAGGATGGCTCCCACCAGGTTCTCGGGCACCGCAATCTCCACCAGCTCCTTGGCGCTCTCCGCTGCCAACTTCTCCGCTGTCAGGAAGCCCCCCGCCGCCCCGGCTGCGGCCGCCGCGGCCACCAGGGGGCCACCCCCGGCCCCAGCCCCGGCTCCGCCCCCGGCCCCGAGGTAGCCATTGGC